TGTGCACTCCCTTCAGCCTACATTTCTTTGCTATGTGACCTATCTTGTCACATTTGTGACACCGAACGGTACACTTCTCTGATTTATGTCCACGCAGTCCGCACCGACCACATTCAGTTCCTTTCTGCTTCTGTTTACCAGAGTCTTTGTTTGATGAATCCTCTTTATTATAAGGATTTTTGGACATCGTCCTTCTGAAAACGGTTTGATTTTTGACATAGTTCACAGTTCTGGATGACTCTCCGCCAGACATAAATTGAGCCTCTCTGTTAGCCTGCTCTTTGCTCAAAGCTTCTTTCGCTGCAATAGCCAAAGTCAGGTTTTCTCTCGCCAGTAAATCTGACACAACTCTTTGGTCCTTCAAGCCAGCCAACAGCTGATCCAGCAACGATTCATTATAGTTTGGGAAATCAAATTCGTTTGCAATAGTCCTCAACCAGGAGATGTATGTAGCTGTACCTTCATTTTCTTCCTGTGTACAACTTCTAAGTTTGAATCGCTGCGCAAACTTCGTTGGAGCGGGACAGAGGTGATTTATTATTACAGTCTTGCACTCTTCATAGGTGCACAAGGTGAGATCTCTTGGGCTAACTAGTGATTTCAATAGCTTGTACATGTGTTCGTCTAACTTTGAAATAAACAAAGATAAGTTCTTGTAAATTGCTGCATTTCTGACTGCCGCATTGCTATTGTCCTCCGCTAACACTGGAATCACTGTTGAACGATCTCCTGCTGCTAGGAAAAACTCGTATCGTTCGAACCATGAACAAATACACGAGTTTGCGGTTAAAGGTTCGCACTTACTGCTCGTCGCCATTTGTTAAATCTCTTTGAGAGGGACAGGACAAGAGTTACACTTTATTGGTGAAACATGAAAGGCTAAAATAGTAGCATTTGCTTGGTTAGTAACATAAATCAACAATATAACATACGCGGCTCCCGATAAACAAGGAGATAAAACTAAGAGCTCAAATGGACCTGTATCAAGCAAAGTCTAAAACCTACTGGATGCTCCTGATAAACGAGGAGCTAACAAATAAACGTAACTGTCTGAAACAAGCTACGTATTCGAGAAGAGCATCGAATTTCGACCAATACTGGGTGAAAATTTCAGAAGTGATCTAAATTTCCCCAAAAACCTTATCTCTTAAAATCAAAAAGCTCGTAAAATCAAAAAACGTTACTGGAGGGATAAATATAAAATAGACCGAAGAACTAAAGTTAAGAAGGTAAAATGGTGCGAATATAAAATAGATGCATGAGAAAATATTGAATTTAGGAATATTAAATTTCTTTCTTTAAAGAAAGTTGCAGCCAGGTAGTAGGTACAACTTCAGTGAGTGGTTGTAGTTGCACTTGGTTGCCTTAAAACTAGAGGTTTTAACAACTTCTCCAAGGGCCCCTGAGTGGGTACCTCCTCTGCATTATCTGCTAATTATGCTTTCTCTGCTCTTCTGTATCTATCTTTAGCAGTCTTCTCCTCTTATTCTCGCACAGCCTCCTTAACCCTTTCTCTTTCTGCGGCAGCAACTGGTTCTTTAATTATTTGAAGTTGTCCGAGTCTATCGCTGCTTTCATCGCAATATAGAGCAAAATACAGTTTGTAGAGAACTTTCGATTGATGTATTTTTGTTGAGAGCAATTTTAAAACTAAATTTGAAATGCATCGCATAACATAATTTGTTGCAGATGGATACCATTGATAAACTGATTATTATTAGACACGAGAACAATGGATACACACAATCTACAAATGATAGTAAATAAATAATCAATCAATACAGTCAATCAACAACTGGGAACAACTGAGTTTATCTAGATATTAGTCTGCTTAGGTCACAATGCTAACGCTCTTTCTCACATACACAGCTGACTAACACAGAGATTAACTATTAATAACTGTTAAACAAATTAAAATCTAAAAGCACCATAGTATAGTAGTTTTGACGGCCCCAACGTTAATGTGGCTCTTGCTATGTGTTGGTTCAGCCGAATTAATTATTATATAATCAAGTTTATTTTTCTCGTTAGTTGTCATCCGGCCAAACATTAAGCAACTTATATTGCAGTACCATTTATCATTTAGTATATCAAAATATGTCATTGTAATTTTGCATGGCTGAAATGTAACGCTTGATTTATATATATAATGATTAATTGAATTTTCAAATAAAAAAAAGTGGTCTTATTAATAGAAAAGGAGAAAATGTCAACAAATCTTACACATTTCACCTAATAAATAATTAAACTTGTGCATATTCCTAATATGTGTAAGATTACTTGCCTTTCTAGGAATAAGTGAGAAGAAATTTATATCTTATTCTTAGCAACAGGAAAAACCTGTTTTGTTACCGATTAAAAGATCACTAATATCTTCAAATATACATTTGATATCTGAATCTGGAAGCATATTTTCGACATCATTTCCCCCAACTTGAAGAAAAACAGTTGAGACACTTGAGGTGTTGTACTGTTTGGCAGTCTTTTCAACTTCATTGTATATATATCAGCTCGCAAATGAATTTGAATTTTTTTTTAATTTACCATGATACCCGGTCGTTTGTTGCGAATAGTTTAAACCGTGCCCCAGGCCGGCAGACTACTTTGAAGTTTCTTATACGCTTGGAAAGTGTGTCTATTTTCTGGCTCTTTTTTCATTCTTTACTTCTTTGTCTCCAGCATGTATTTCGTGGTAATATATTTGCTGGAAGCCAGGGAGCATCGTAAATATGCTCCCGGGAGTAAAAGTGAAGTACTTGACGGATTTCGTTTTGTCAAGGGAGGTGTTGATTTTCCGAGCTGCACCAATAGAGAGTGTTGAGATTGGTGTGTAACGCGAGAGTACAGAGTAACGACAGAGGTTAGGTCACGTTAAGTATTAATCATCCTGAAAGGGCAGGCATATTAGTATAAATATAATCCTACAACATTCTCCCCGGCTGAAAAATCAGATCACACCTTATATAGTTTATTAAAATAAATTAAATCTCTCATGACATCACAAAATCCATAAAACAGGGATATAACATTTTCCATCGTCGTCTTCCAGTGCACGAACTTGTTCGCATTTCCTCCATCCGCTGATGTCCCCAGGTCGAGTTCGAGTTTTTCCGGTCTTAATACCTTATCCATTACTCTTTTTGGATGATTAAAGTGTAACGCGAGAGTACAGAGTAACGACAGAGGTTAGGTCACGTTAAGTATTAATCATCCTGAAAGGACAGGTATATTAGTATAAATATAATCCTACAACAGTGCGTCTGAATCAAGGCATGATTCATCATCTTTATGAGGAGGAAGATGACATACATTGGTGCTGTACCTGTTAACTTACATGGAGTTTAGCCCCTGGTGGTGACAAACTTCGGATGATATCATGAACTGTCTGCTAGTCGGATGAACTCAGCCCTACTCCCTAGGAAGTCTCGAGCATTCTCTAGGGAGGCCGTGGGTCCATTAATTTCGTCCATTAGACAGAAGAGTACCATGTCAGGAATTGGAATAGTTGTTGTTGATGATGGCAACTGATAATACTTCAACAAAAACGAACGACTTATATACCACATTTAAATCGTAATCATTTATTTCACTGAGCAATCAATATTATTCGTAACTAATTATATCCGAGAGACCATATTTGAATCGTAATCAATAGTTTGATCCAGTAATTTACTAGGCTACAATTAATAATGCAATTAGTCGTGACTAATTGCATCCAAGATACCATACATACCATTCATATGATCGGGTGGTCGGGCTATCTAGATACTGCCGGAAACCGTACTTTCATGACCTTTAGTGTAAAATCCCGGATGATCACAATCAGCTTCTTGATAAACATATGTGATGACATAATGCTAACCTTAACTTGTGGTATACCTACTAGGCCTAGTAAGGAGCATATGATTATCATCAGGATATCAAGTAACTTTAAATGTTATATTTTATGTTATAGGTTCGAAATCTTCCAATTATACAATGTCTTTTAAATAACCTGGAACGTCATCATGGTAGCAGACTCTTGAGTCTTGACGTCATTTCCCATGAAACCTTGTCTAATGTCTTTGGTAGGACGATTTTGGTGATGACGATGTTTGTGCTGAAATAATGTGGTATTCTAAATTACATATATTATATCGAAGAGGAATGAAATTGAACTACAGTGATCCCAAATTTATTTCTCCCTAATTTCCTGCACACCCAAATTACCACAGCTATTTCTTTTCCCTAAACAGGGCTTCAAATACATTGTGTAAACAATTAAAACCCCGATTAACAACTGCCTTTTTTTTCTCTCAATTTTTGTGATAAATTGAAGCATTCTGCATTACTGTATTAACTTTTGTGAGATTTTTAGAAAGACACTAACAACTTTTTACCATTTATTTTAGACACGCAATTACTGTATAGCACTTGTGCAATTTAAACTACTCCCTTAAATTTCAACATATTTTATAACATGCACTGATTGAGGTTCTCTGCATCTGGTGGGAGCTGTTAAATTTCACAGTTTTATTTGTTATAAATTTGTATTTAAATTTGAATGTTTTACAACTTATTTAAGGTATTATTCACTAATTTTGAGAAGAGTTTCATCTTTTGTGATTACTGTGAATGTACATTGTACTGTTGATATTGCAGCAGGATATATTCCTGGATTATTTTGCCTTATTTTTTGGAGTAGTGTCAGGCTATATATTTCCAGTCCTATATATTACACATTAGTTTATATTATAGGACCTTTGGCTTATATACTGTTACCTTAACTTTGTTATCTCTCAGGATACATTGTTAACTACATGTGCTTGTGCTAATCCTTTGAACACTCTTTAACTATACCCAGTGGAGTATAATTGCCTCGGAACACAGGCCGACAGTAGCTTTAACAAGTTGCAAAATTACAAAATATGAGTAAAGTTGTCACATCTTATTATACTCTAATTGCTTATCTTTAAAATTCAATGCTTAACCTCTTGAATCTGTTTACAGGAAAGATTGCCATGTCCAATTCAGATACTACATCTCCAACCGTAACAGTTAAAGATGAAGTGAAGACTGAGATTCTTGACTATGTTATAAAGAAGGAAATAAAGTGTGAGCTAGAGGAAGCCACCGGGAAGTCACATGGTTTTATTTGTCCTACATGTAAAGCTCATTGCCTTTATGATACGTTCTTCATTGAACATGTTAAAGAACACCATAAGGATATGGCTGATGACAATTTAAATTCTTATGAACCGCCGAGTTCTTCCGAATCATCGGATAAAAAGAACAATTCAAATGATACCCTACACGTAGCTAAACCTTTCAAATGTGAAGTTTGCTCCTATTCTTGCTCATTAAAATCTTCACTTTTGATACATCAGAGAGTTCATACCCAAGAAAAACTTTTTAAATGTGAAGAGTGCTCGTATACATGTTCTCGAAAAGGTCATCTTGTCCTACATCAACGTATTCACACAAGGGAGAAACCCTACAAGTGTAATGAGTGCTCATATACCTCTTCTAATAAAGGTAGCCTTGTCATACATCAGCGTATTCACTCTGGTGAGAAACCCTACAAGTGCAAGGAATGCTCATATAAATGTTCTCATAAAAGTAGCCTTGTCAGACATCAGCGTATTCACTCTGGTGAGAAACCCTACAAGTGCAAGGAATGCTCATATGCCTGTTCTCAAAAATGTAGCCTTCTCAGACATCAGCTAATTCACTCTGGTGAGAAACCCTACAAGTGTAATGAATGGTCATATACATGTTCTCAAAAGGTTCACCTTGTCCACCATGAGCGTGTTCATTCTAGTAAAGAACTCAACCAATGAACATAATGCTCGTCTTCTTTCATTTTATAAATCTACACCTATCAGAAATATATTACGATGATTTATATTGGTGAAAATATCTTTATAGTTAAAATTATGCGGGAAAGTGAATAAACTTGCTCATACCGTATATTATCCAACTATCAACACTTGCTCGTCTAAATTAAATCTAAAATACCAAGGCAAAGAAGTTCATAATGCAAATAGACGTTTACATATCGAAAAGAAATGTCATTGAACTACAGTGATCCCAAATTTATTTCTCCACAATTTCCTGCACACCCGAATTACCACAGCCATTTCCTTTCCCTAAACAGGGCTTCAAATACCTTATGTAAACTATCAAAACCCTGATTTACCACTGCTTTTTCCTTTCTCTCAAACTTTGTGGTAAATTGAGGTATTACTGTATTAACTTTTGCGAGATTTTTAGAAGGACACTAAAAACTTTTTAACATTTACTTGAGGCACGCAATTACTGTATGGCACTTGTGCTATTTAAACTACTCCCTTTAATTTTAACATATTTTATAACATGCACTGATTGAGGTTCTCTGCATCTGGTGTGGGCTGTTTAATTTCGCAGTTTTATTTGTTATAAATTTGCATTTAAATTTGAATGTTTTACAACTTATTTAAGGTATTATTCACTAATTTTGAGAAGAGCTTCATCTTTTGTGATTACTATGAATGTACTGTTCATATTGCATCAGGATATCTATTCCTGGATTATTCTGCCTTATTTTTTGGAGTAGCTTTAACAAGTTGCAAAATTACAAAATACGAGTAAAATTGTCACATCTTATTATACTCTAATTGCTTATCTATGAAATTCAATGCTTAACCTCTTGAATCTGTTCACAGGAAAGATTGCCATGTCAAATTCAGATACTACATCTCCAACCGTAACTGTTAAAGATGAAGTGAAGACTGAGATTCTTGACTATGTTATAAAGAAGGAAATAAAGTGTGAGCTAGAGGAAGCCACCGGGAAGTCACATGGTTTTATTTGTCCCACATGTAAAGCTCATTTCCTTTATGATACGTTCTTCATTGAACATGTTAAAGAACACCATAAGGATATGGCTGATGACAATTTAAATTCTTATGAACCGCCGAGTTCTTTTGAATCATCGGATAAAGAGAACAATTCAAATGATACCCTACACGTAGCTAAACCTTTCAAATGTGAAGTTTGCTCTTATTCTTGCTCATTAAAATCTTCAATTTTGATACATCAGAGAGTTCATACCCAAGAAAAACCTTTTAAATGTGAAGAGTGCTTATATACATGTTCTCGAAGAGGTCATCTCGTCCTACATCAACGTATTCACTCTGGTGAGAAACCTTACAAGTGTAATGAATGCTCATATGCTTGTTCTCAAAAATGTAGCCTTGTCAAACATCAGCTTATTCACTCTGGTGAGAAACCCTACAAGTGTAATGAGTGCTCATATGCTTGTTCTAGTAAAGGTAATCTTGTCATACATCAGCGTATTCACTCTGGTGAGAAACCCTACAAGTGTAATGAGTGCTCATATACCTCTTCTCGTAAAGGTAGCCTTGTCATACATCAGCGTATTCACTCTGGTGAGAAACCCTACAAGTGTAATGAGTGCTCATATAAATGTTCTCACAAGTGTAATCTTGTCCAACATCAACGTATTCACACAGGGGAGAAACTCTACAAGTGCAAGGAATGCTCATATGCTTGTTCTCATAAAAACAGTCTAGTCAGACATCAGCGTATTCACACGGGTGGAAATCCCTTTAAATGCAAGGTATGCTCATATGCTTGTTCTCGTAAAAACAGTCTAGTCATGCATCAGCACATTCACACGGTTGAAAATCCCTTTTAATGCAAGGAATGCTCATATACGTCATGTTCTCAAAAGGTTCACCTTGTCCACCATGAGCTTGTTCGTTCTAGTAAAGAACTCAACCAATGAACACAATGCTCGTTTTCTTTCATTTTATAATCGAAATATATTACGAAGATTAACATGGGTGAAAATATCTTAATAGTTTATATTATGCGGGAAAGTGAATACACTTGCTCTTCTAAATCAAATCTTATAAAATACCAAGGCGAAGAAGTTCATTATGCAAATTATGGACGTTTACATATATCGAAGAGGAATGACATTGAACTACAGTGATCCCAAATTTATTTCTCCCCAATGTCCTGCACACCCGAATTACCACAGCCATTTCCTTTCCCTAAACAGGGCTTCAAATACATTATGTAAACAATCAAAACCCCGATTAACCACTGCCTCTTCCTTTCTCTCAAACTTTGTGGTAAATTGAGGTATTACTGTATTAACTTTAGCGAGATTTTTAGAAAGACACTAAAAACTTTTTACCATTTACTTGAGACACGCAATTACTGTATGGCACTTGCGCTATTTAAACTACTCCCTTTAATTTCAACATATTTTATAACATGCACTGATTGAGGTTCTCTGCATCTGGTGGGGGCTGTTTAATTGCACAGTTTTATTTGTTATAAATTTGTATTTAAATTTGAATGTTTTACAACTTATTTAAGGTATAATTCACTAATTTTGAGAAGAGTTTCATCTTTTGTGATTACTGTGAATGTACTGTTCATATTGCAGCAGGATAATATATATTCCTGGATTATTCTGCTTTATTTTTTGGAGTAGCTTTAACAAGTTGCAAAATTACAAAATACGAGTAAAGTTGTCACATCTTATTATACTCTAATTGCTTATCTTTAAAATCCAATGCTTAACCTCTTGAATCTGTTTACAGGAAAGATTGCCATGTCCAATTCAGATACTACTTCTCCAACCGTAACTGAAGATGAAGTGAAGACTGAGATTCTTGACTATGTTATAAAGAAGGAAATAAAGTGTGAGCTAGAGGAAGCCACCGGGAAGTCACATGGTTTTATTTGTCCTACATGTAAAGCTCATTGCCTTTATGATACGTTCTTCATTGAACATGTTAAAGAACACCATAAGGATATGGCTGATGACAATTTAAATTCTTATGAACCGCCGAGTTCTTCCGAATCATCGGATAAAAAGAACAATTCAAATGATACCCTACACGTAGCTAAACCTTTCAAATGTGAAGTTTGCTCCTATTCTTGCTCATTAAAATCTTCACTTTTGATACATCAGAGAGTTCATACCAAAGAAAAACTTTTTAAATGTGAAGAGTGCTCGTATACATGTTCTCGAAAAGGTCATCTTGTCCTACATCAACGTATTCACACAAGGGAGAAACCCTATAAGTGCAAGGAATGCTCATATATCTGTTCTAGTAAAAGCAGCCTTGTCAGTCATCTGCTAATTCACCCTGGCGAGAAACCCTACAAGTGTAATGAATGCTCATATACCTGTTCTCATAAAAGTAGCCTTGTCAGACATCAGCGTATTCACTCTGGTGAGAAACCCTACAAGTGCAAGGAATGCTCATATAAATGTTCTCAAAAGTGTCATCTTGTCCATGAACGTGTTCATTCTAGTAAAGAACTCAACCAATGGACACAATGCTCGTCTTATTTCATTTTATAAATCTACACCTATCAGAAATATATTACGACGATTTATATTGGTGAAAATATCTTTATATTTTAAATTATGCAGGAAAGTGAATACACTTGCTCATACCGTATATTATCCAACTATCAACACTTGCTCGTCTAAATTAAATCTAAATTACCAAGGCGAAGAAGTTCATAATGCAAATAGACGTTTACATATCGAAAAGAATTGTCATTGAACTACAGTGATCCCAAATTTGTTTCTCCCCAATGTCCTGCACACCTGAATTACCACAGAAATTTCCTTTCCCTAAACAGGGCTTCAAATACATTATGTAAACTATCAAAACCCCGATTAACCACTGCCACTTCCTTTCTCTCAAATTTTGTGGTAAATTGAGGTATTACTGTATTAACTTTTGCGAGATTTTTAGAAAGACACTTACAACTCTTTAACATTTACTTGAGGCACGCAATTACTGTATGGCACTTGTGCTTTTTAAACTACTCCCTTTTATTTAACATATTTTATAGCATGTACTGATTGAAGTTCTCTGCATCTGGTGTGGGCTGTTTAATTTCACAGTTTTATTTGTTATAAATTTGCACTTAAATTTGAATGTTTTACAACTTATTTAAGGTATAATTCACTAATTTTGAGAAGAGTTATCTTTTGTGATTACTGTGAATGTACTGTTCATATTGCAGCAGGATATCTATTCCTGGATTATTCTGCCTTATTTTTTGGAGTAGCTTTAACAAGTTGCTAAGTTACAAAATACGAGTAAAATTGTCACATCTTATTATACTCTAATTGCTTATCTATGAAATTCAATGCTTAACCTCTTGAATCTGTTTACAGGAAAGATTGCCATGTCAAATTCAGATACTACATCTCCAACCGTAACTGTTAAAGATGAAGTGAAGGCTGAGATTCTTGACTATGTTATAAAGAAGGAAATAAAGTGTGAGCTAGAGGAAGCCACCGGGAAGTCACATGGTTTTATTTGTCCCAGATGTAAAGCTCATTTCCCTTATGATACGTTCTTCATTGAACATGTTAAAGAACACCATAAGGATATGGCTGATGACAATTTAAATTCTTATGAACCGCCGAGTTCTTTTGAATCATCGGATAAAGAGAACAATTCAAATGATACCCTACACGTAGCTAAACCTTTCAAATGTGAAGTTTGCTCTTATTCTTGCTCATTAAAATCTTCAATTTTGATACATCAGAGAGTTCATACCCAAGAAAAACCTTTTAAATGTGAAGAGTGCTTATATACATGTTCTCGAAGAGGTCATCTCGTCCTACATCAACGTATTCACTCTGGTGAGAAACCTTACAAGTGTAATGAATGCTCATATGCTTGTTCTCAAAAATGTAGCCTTGTCAAACATCAGCTTATTCACTCTGGTGAGAAACCCTACAAGTGTAATGAGTGCTCATATGCTTGTTCTAGTAAAGGTAATCTTGTCATACATCAGCGTATTCACTCTGGTGAGAAACCCTACAAGTGTAATGAGTGCTCATATACCTCTTCTCGTAAAGGTAGCCTTGTCATACATCAGCGTATTCACTCTGGTGAGAAACCCTACAAGTGTAATGAATGCTCATATGCTTGTTCTCATAAAACCAGTCTAGTCAGACATCAGCGTATTCACACGGGTGGAAATCCCTTTAAATGCAAGGTATGCTCATATGCTTGTTCTCGTGAAAACAGTCTAGTCATGCATCAGCACATTCACACGGTTGAAAATCCCTTTTAATGCAAGGAATGCTCATATACGTCATGTTCTCAAAAGGTTCACCTTGTCCACCATAAGCTTGTTCGTTCTAGTAAAGAACTCAACCAATGAACACAATGCTCGTTTTCTTTCATTTTATAATCGAAATATATTACGAAGATTAACATGGGTGAAAATATCTTAATAGTTTATATTATGCGGGAAAGTGAATACACTTGCTCTTCTAAATCAAATCTTATAAAATACCAAGGCGAAGAAGTTCATTATGCAAATTATGGACGTTTACATATATCGAAGAGGAATGACATTGAACTACAGTGATCCCAAATTTATTTCTCCCCAATGTCCTGCACACCCGAATTACCACAGCCATTTCCTTTCCCTAAACAGGGCTTCAAATACCTTATGTAAACAATCAAAACCCCGATTAACCACTGCCTCTTCCTTTCTCTCAAACTTTGTGGTAAATTGAGGTATTACTGTATTAACTTTAGCGAGATTTTTAGAAAGACACTAAAAACTTTTTACCATTTACTTGAGACACGCAATTACTGTATGGCACTTGCGCTATTTAAACTACTCCCTTTAATTTCAACATATTTTATAACATGCACTGATTGAGGTTCTCTGCATCTGGTGGGGGCTGTTTAATTGCACAGTTTTATTTGTTATAAATTTGTATTTAAATTTGAATGTTTTACAACTTATTTAAGGTATAATTCACTAATTTTGAGAAGAGTTTCATCTTTTGTGATTACTGTGAATGTACTGTTCATATTGCAGCAGGATAATATATATTCCTGGATTATTCTGCTTTATTTTTTGGAGTAGCTTTAACAAGTTGCAAAACTACAAAATACGAGTAAAGTTGTGACATCTTATTATACTCTTATTGCTAATCTATGAAATTCAATGCTTAACCTCTTGAATCTGTTCACAGGAAAGATTGCCATGTCGAATTCAGATACTACATCTCCAACCGTAACTGTTAAAGATGAAGTGAAGACTGAGATTCTTGACTATGTTATAAAGAAGGAAATAAAGTGTGAGCTAGAGGAAGCCACCGGGAAGTCACATGGTTTTATTTGTCCCACATGTAAAGCTCATTTCCTTTATGATACGTTCTTTATTGAACATGTTAGAGAACACCATAAGGAAATGGCTGATGACAATTTAAATTCTTATGAACCGCCGAGTTCTTCGGAATCATCGGATAAAAAGAACAAGTCAAAGATACCCTACACGTAGCTAAACCTTTCAAATGTGAAGGTTGCTCCTATTTTTGCTCATTAAAATCTTCACTTTTGATACATCAGAAAGTTCATACCCAAGAAAAACCTTTTAAATGTGAAGAGTGCTCGTATACATGTTCTCGAAAAGGTCATCTTGTCCTACATCAACGTATTCACACAAGGGAGAAACCCTATAAGTGCAAGGAATGCTCATATACCTGTTCTCATAAAAGTAGCCTTGTCAGACATCAGCTTATTCACTCTGGTGAGAAACCCTACAAGTGTAATGAATGCTCATATAAATGTTCTCAAAAGGTTCATATTGTCCAACATCAACGTGTTCATTCTAGTAAAGAACTCAACCAATGGACACATTGCTCGTCTTATTTCATTTTATAAATCTACACCTATCAGAAATATATTACGACGATTTATATTGGTGAAAATATCTTTATATTTTAAATTATGCAGGAAAGTGAATACACTTGCTCATACCGTATATTATCCAACTATCAACACTTGCTCGTCTAAATTAAATCTAAAATACCAAGGCGAAGAAGTTCATATTAGGGCTTTTTTTTGTGACTTACATTACCGAGATAGCAAATTTTTACCTTTGAGGAGTCATGACTCGGTAACCATGCATGATGAGATGATATTTTGGTATTTATTTCCGTATCCGGAATCTCTTCAGAACAATGCAGGTATAATTTAGTCTGTGTCTTAAGGAAATTTTACACAATCGCCTGCCAAAAAAGTGTGACTTACATTACAGGATAGACTTTGATTTTCGGACTTAGGTGTATTTAAACTGCAATTCTATCTCGAATATGTCAGATAGCAGCTTTCATCTAAAATTTCTGCAAATTTGAGGCCTTAGGCTGCTAAAAAATGCTAAGTTTAAGATTCGTTCATTCGTTTATTACGTACATCACCCTCATACATTTGTGACTTACATTACAGACATTTGTGACTTACATTACTTTATCTCCTGAAACCAAGATAAAAATTCATTTTCGTGTGATATTAATTTGGAATACAAAATTTTTTTGATTCTACTTGCTCATTTGGTAATAACATAACACATAAATGTAATAATCCCCAATTACTTGAAATTATATTTTAATAATATCGACGAAATACATTATTGCCTTTAACTCAAAAAATAAAGGTTGTAGGCATATAGTTGATTGATAAGTTGAATATAAACTTGGCTATTCCGGTTCTTTTAAGCTATAACACAGTTCTCTAAGTGGTATGGTTCTCCAGATATGAATTTAATTGAACAGTAAACGCGACCGCGACAGAATGGTTACCATGGAAACGAAAAATACCACGATATAAGGTTGGAGTTGAACTCTAAATTTTTTTTTCCAAACTCACAATGACCTAATGCAACTTTTTTGAAGGTGCATCAATTATTGGACCATGTTTGTGTTTTTTGATACAGCCTAATCGACAATCTTAGACAGCAACACAACACAGCAAAGACAGTTCACAAATAGGAAGTTTTTTCAACTTCCTAGTTCGCGTTCTTTTACAGGTGAATTTGTATGAAACAGAACAGTCGAACTACATTAAGTCTGAACTGTATTGTTGCTCAGCAGGGATTTTAAGGTGTCGTTTTGGTATGTGTGACATACATTACATTGTGACTTACATTACACTGTGACTTACATTACTACTTTATACACTTAATTACAGGCACATTTAACCCACTAGCAATCATGCAGTAATTGATCTATCGTCCTTGAAGGTAGTAGAGATAGGTCTGAGAATTCGATTGTGGCTAGATTCGATTATTTGTCGGGAAAAAAACTTTGGTGGCAATATTGTGACTTACATTACATACTTTTGAAGGTAGATTTTTTTAATATGAAGTAATACTTGTCACAAGTTTATCACTTGATTAATACTTATACACTAAAAGTACAAACCAAATTGCGGTAAATTTAAATCGATAGTATTATTCCTACTTGTCGAAGTAAGACTTGAGAAAAAGGTAAATAATTGGAGCAAAATTTACAGCAGACTTCAGCTGCACTTTTCATGAACTAAAATTTGCATTTAACGGTAAACCCTTATCGAGTCTGGCATTTGAGACCTTTTTAAACAACAAACAATCATTTTTTGATGCTTTCTATTGATTTAAAAGTTTCACCAAAGTGGAAGTTTTAGAAAAAAATGCCCATTAATGCAAATAGACGTTTACATATCGAAAAGAAATGTCATTGAAAGATTGAACTACAGTGATCCCAAATTTATTTCTCCCAATTTCCTGCACACCCGAATTACCACAGAAATTTCCTTTCCCTAAACAGGGCTTCGAATACATTATGTAAACTATCAAAACCCCGATTAACCACTGCCACTTCCTTTCTCTCAAACTTTGTGGTAAATTGAGGTATTACTGTATTAACTTTAGCGAGATTTTTAGAAAGACACTTACAACTCTTTAACATTTACTTGAGGCACGCAATTACTGTATGGCACTTGTGCTATTTAAACTACTCCCTTTAATTTTAAAATATTTTATAACATGTACTGATTGAGGTTCCCTGCATCTGGTGGGGGCTGTTTAATTTCACAGTTTTATTTGTTATAACAACTTATTTAAGGTATTATTCACAATTTTGTGATTACTGTGAATGTACTGTTCATATTGCAGCAGGATATCTATTCCTGGATTATTCTGCCTTATTTTTTGGAGTAGCTTACGCATCATCTGTACTGTTGCGTCATTGCTCTGCTCGCTCAGGATCTGTTCTCGACTGACAGTTATCGCCTCCTCGCCTCCAGCGGTCATCACGACAAAAACTTCGCTACGGTCTTAGGGCCTGTCGTGATATCATGGATCGCTTAGGTTCCACCAGGATCTGGTAGTCCTCATAATTCTGCGGCCTCTATGTGTCGTCATCTCGCACAACTCCGAAAAACCGTTGTGAGTTTGGCATGTGAAAATTTGCAGCCCTCCAGACATCGATTGGGTTAACGAGTTGTCGTACGTCACCTCAAGATCGGGTGACAGGGGGCTGAACAGGCCAGAACCCAATTGATTGGGTCTGAGGTCACGTGATTATGAGCCTGAGGTCACGTGACTATGACGTCACCAGAGCTCGTTCTCCGTTTCCCGCTCTTTGGACCAGGTGAGCTTGCATGCTTGTGAAAGTGGGTGTAAGTACAGCTGTACTGTAGTTACATCCAATTACCCCTAATAGAATGAAGATTTATTTTCTGACAGAAAGCTAGAAATTTACCAAAGTATCGACTTTGCTCAAAATTTATTTTGATGATCACTCCTAACCTAAAATTGCACGAGAAATCGATTAAACTTGGTTTCAGAACTCAACAATGCTTCCTTATGCCTTAAGGGGGGGGGGGGGGGGGGGGGGGGGTTCACCCTGATTTTTTTTGTGAAACTTAGTTTCGAGATAGTTAACCAACAAACTAGGACCGGTGACCGAACTTTTGAGGGGGTCCCGGACCCCAACCGCCAAACGGTGCCCGCGGGGCAGCCACGCCCATATTTGGTCCAAATCAGGCCCAATTTAGCCAAATACCATGAACATGCCCAAAACCCAAATTTTAGGTGCTCTGTTTGTAGCTAGTGGTCCCCTGAACTCGTATATGAATTTTCATCAAGATTGGACAAAAAATGACTGAGTTATGAGCCAAAAACCATATGACCATATTTGGGCATACGCACCAAATTTGATCGATTTTGGCCCATAAATTGGTCAAATATCCATATTTTTGAATGAAACCAACTTTATATGGAAGGTAAGCCTA